TAAGCTACAAAAAAAAAGACAACTGAAATTAAACCTTTCAATTCAAATGATGTCAATTAACAAAATTTAGCTTAAGATGTACATACGGTCAACTGACGGATAGAGGACTTCAGTGAGCAAATGTGGATGACCATAGTCAACAGTCTTTGCTTGAAATTATAAATATTTAAAAATAGGCACTAGTCTTATAAATAAACTGCATAGTTGCAATCTAAACAACTATGATCTCAACTAAAAAGCAACAAAAGTACATTATGTTGTCCAACAGCAGCAATATTTGTCAAACTGTAGTGTCCTCTGCTTGTTGCTGTATGTTGGCGGTGCAATACACAAGGGTGAACGGTTAAATTGTCACGAAACACCCGTTGACAGTCGTATTTGTGTCTCACACTGCTAAAAACACTATTAGGACACATATATTTCACTAAAAAGTGAAAATTGGTTGTTTTTGCGTTATTTCGAGCAAATTCCGGTTTGAAATGAATTTTTGAAGCTGCGTCACGGCCATGAGATCTTAGCGTGTATTCCAGCATGTTGACTGGACGTCTGTACCTGGGAGTTCCGTATTACTTCTCAGAGTGTGATGCATTAATGCATGAGTAAGGCTTGGTTCAAACCAATCAGCGCGCTCTATTGTGCAACTTCATTAATATTCATTAATGTTATAGTGTTTAGACAACAGAGACGCCACATTGTGTTGGCAAAACAAGCGTGCAGTGTTGCTTTTATAATTTGCGGCAGTGCAAGTTTTGTTTTCATTTTCACTCTATGAGAGCGCAGCTGGACTCACATGTGGATTACAGTGCACGCAGCGCGCGACAACAATACGTGTCTAAGGAACATTGTTTACCCGAGAGCTTTTCTCAATTGCAAATGGTGAGATCTGAATTTGCTGCTCGTCTACTCTTAATAAAGACATGGCTCTAGTTGCTGGTGATTGTCCTGTCTCTACAGATTTACTAAGTGAGCGACCAGTGGTCATTTGTTTATACAGATGGCAAAGTTAGTTCGTATCGTATCATGTGTAAACATGTTAGCATGTTTTCACCGCTTTTTGAGACCGGAATAACACACACAGCTTTCTGATGCTACCTGCCAAGTGCATCTAAGTTTCCGGGAAATGCGGAGGGTTTTTTCCTCTCATTCGCCATGCGGTATCAAACATTGCATGAAAATACACGCTTAGAGCAGTTCCTCGAATCAAATATCTCGTTTGTCATGAGGTGCATGAATAAGATTCGTGAATGAAAGAGCCAAACTGCAGTAAAAGTCCACCATTTAATAATTTGTCAAATAATTTGATTACTGATGTCCAAGTAAACACAGTCACTTTTTCCTGTGTGTGTGTGTGTGTGTGTGTGTGTGTGTGTGTGTGTGTGTGTGTGTGTGTTTTGACTCTGAAAATCAACACATGCCCAAATCGACACTCCCAAATAATCCCTCTTTGGCTCCTCCGACACTCCCCCCTAAACAGAGCTGGATACACCCACTTTACTGACTTTTTCCAAAGTAGAGGTGTGAAAACACCCTGCTGAAACAAGGGGGTTTCATGGCCCTTTAAGAAGCTGGGCATGTGCTGTTACTGCCAGAATATTGCACAGCTATCAGCCAATCAGATTCAAGAACCAGACAGCACTGTTGTATAAATGCATTACATTAATCATTAAATTATCATTCAATCATTTACAGCTAATTTTAAACTAGTACTGAAATAAAAAAACTGATTTGAAAGATGCACGACTGTAATAACCATCGATTGCAACAAAGAAACAAGACCTACAGATTTACAGCTGAAGTTCAGACAACTTTTAGCAATTACCATCTGACAAATTCTAATTAAGCAGTCTCTTTTGATGTGGAATTAATTGCAAACAGCCCACATGATCTCCACACAGTAGAGTCATCTGAAGAGCATCTGGCCTTTACTTTCAAAGCACTGGTGCTGAGTGAATAAAGCAAGAAAAAAAAGTAAAAGACTCACCTGTATTGAAGAAGTCCCTTTTTTCTTTCTCTCTACAACCTTAAATCCTCAATCAGCAATGCAAAAAAATCCTCCTTTCATCATCAAGTGTTATGAAGCATCTTTCTGACATGTGAGTTAATTTCTGCAAGTTGCATTGTGTTTTTAGCCACATGCTTTCATGGGATTCCTGGATGTTTACATTAGACGATCTCCTCCTGATGCCAGACGTCCAGCAGCGAATGACAGTAAAATGTGAATGAGCTCTGTGAATCTTGCTTGTTTGGAGCAAAAGGACTCAATTGACATCAGCGTTCAGTGATAAATCCATGTTCCCATGGAAACGTGATGCTATTTTTGGGCCTGCGAGTCGAGCTCTATAATAGATATTTGCATATTCATGTCTGGACAAAAAGAGACAAGATGCTCGAAGCGTTTATCATCTGATTGAACGGCTGCTCGTATCATAATTAGGTGCTATTGGAAATGGGAATAATCTGGCATCTTAAAGGACCCTTTAGCTCAAAGACAGAGAGTGAGTTGCGGCTTCACGAAGATTTAAAAGCAGCTGGTGCAATTACTGAAAGAGACTCATCTCCAAGTAATTGGTCTTGAATCTTCATATCAAAGCATAACACTGAAATCATTCACAACACATGGGCAGATATCAAGTGAAGCAAGTTTTGTACCAAGGTGGAACAACTAATATAGCTATAAGATGTTATTAAAGTTAGTTATTAGTTATTAAAATAAATCTTAATAAAAATAGGCAATTCTAATATGTTACTATTCATTAAAATTTATGCATTCAAATACTATCAACATGTATGTATACAGTTTTATGCAAAAGTTTGGGCACCCCTGATGATTTTCAGAATTGCAAGCGATAGTCTGCTGGCCTTTCAAATCAGCAATTCAATTTGGATATACCACATCTTTCCTGTGGCCTTCCATTTTCTTACTATATTTCTGACTGTGGAGATAGAGACTTTAAACCTTTGTGAAAGCTTTTTGCACACTTCTCCTAATTCATGTAGGTGAATTATCCTTGTATTTAGGTTATTAGAAAGCTATTTTGAGGGGTTCTATTTTGCTCCCTTCTGGTACACAATAAGAAGCAGCACAACTAGCAGTCAGCCATCTTAAATGTCCTTTTTCTTGATTGGTCGCACCTGTGTTAGGATTGTTAAGGTTCACTGAGTCAAGCCGCAGTCACACTGGACTTTTTTCCCCATAGACTTCTATTCATATGCACGCGAATGCATCGGACCGGAAACGCAAGCTCGTGCAACATGTTTCACAGTTCGCTGTGGTGCAAAGTTCAAGCTTGTTGAACTCTGACCTGCAAAATTGTATCATGTGACTGTGTAAGATTAATCGAATATCAAAACATGACCTCTCTATACTAAAATTTTAATTATGGACCAATTGCTTGCTTCTTTAAAAGTCTAATTTAGCGCCATACAACAGAATTTCGCATGCTGAAAGTTTAGAGTGACCGCAACATCACTCAAATTTGTCTTTTAATCAATCAGCATTAAGTAACAAGGCTGTTTCTCAATTCCAGGAACACAGAGAACAGACTCTTGTTTTTGTGGAGACCATTCTTGCCAAGTTGCCTCGGAAGAACATACTCGGGAGACTGCGAGAACGCGTCCTGGGAGAAATAAGATGCTGCGTTCTTCCTGATGGTCACATGACCTTCACGCATTTTAAACATTACAGCATTCATACGATTTATTGTTTTTCCCCATTTCACAATATATCATGCATAAAGACCGTAAAAATACACGCTGCACAATATAAATAAAACAATTTTTAATACAAATTTCAGCAAATAGTCACCTTTATTGTGTTTATGCCTTTATAAAGATTTTAAGTTTGCATCGACGCATCCTCGATATCAAGAACACATCTGGGAACTTTCGCGTCCTCCGTTCTTGAATTTTGGAATTGAACTTTGGCAGTTGATGGTGACGTTACACGAGAACAAGAGGACGCAAGATCGCTGAAGAACGCGTATTGAGAAACAGCTCAGGTTTATAAATCCACACAAAAGAGAGGGTGCCCAATCTTTTGTACAGCCTATTTTTCCGTTTCAATTCAATTTCACACATCTCAATACTGCTACATTATGGATTTCTGTCTGAAAACATAACATTATTTTTAAAAGGCACTGCAATCTTATCTTATAAAGAAAGAGCACATTATTATACAGCCACAGAGGGGTGCCCAAAGCTTTGCATAAAACTGTACATTACAATAGAAATAAGTATATTTATTAAAAAAAAAAAATACATTTAAAATTATTAAAATTGTATGAGTTTATAATAAATCAAATTATATTACTTTTAAGTTATTATAAAATGTATAATATGAAAAAATATTCTTGAATTTAAAATTAAACTTCTTAAGAACATAATATAGATAACATGTTAATAATAAAAAATAATAAAACTTAAAAACACATACTATATTAATATTAACTAAATATTAGCAATAGCATTACAAAAAATATTAGAATAAAAATGAAATATATTATATTAAACATAATATTAGAATAATATTAGTATAATTTATGAATGTTAAACATAATTTGTCAAATATAACATACAAATAATTTGAGTATGATTTATGGTTTTGGTTTATGAGAAGTTAAAAAAATTGTATATGTTTTATATATTAAAAACCAATTATATTATCAGAATATACTACATTTGTTCATAATTAAATTATTATTAGTAGAAGTGGTAACTTATAATTAAAAAGCAAATATTAATGTATTAATAATATATATTTTATGTTAAATATATTAAAAATTAAATATTAAATTATTAGAATACACAATGTTTTATTATTATTAAATTATAATTAGTAGTAGAAGTGTTATCTTATGATTAAAAAGCAGTTATTAAGGTATTAATCATATACATTTTATACGTTTAACATTAAAAAGCAATTATATTATTAGAATACACAATGTTTGTTTATTATTAAATTGTGATTATTAGTAGAAATAATTTCAGCTTAAACCATGAAATAAAATGACATCCTGCTTTATTTACCATTACATGTACATGTGCATCAATGGACAAAAATATCAGAAGTGCCATTGTCTCCATCACATGCAACCAGAATAAAGACATCAAATGCATCATCTGAGTACAATCCATCTCATATTTCAACATCTGCATAGACAGCGTGTCAACTTAATGTTGTGATATATGGACTATTACTTTAATAGGCGTCTGGGGCGTAATGATCGACTTTGATGCATTAACGACACGGCTTTAACAAAAGGGTGGGTTGCTGCTAAATTTGGTTGGTATTTTTACATCATATGAGGGTGGCAGCAGTAAAGCTCTGAGGAATTTAACCAGAGAGCCGATGCCATTATTTACAGATAATTCTTAAATAAAGTCCAGAGGCTTTTAGAGGAAGAACTTCTCCATCTGTTCGTCATAATCCACTCCTTTTCTAGTTCAGGGGTGCATAAATACAGCTTCCAAAAAACAATCTGTGCCTATTTGTCTTATTCGGCTGCTTTAAGAGCCATTAAATGTGATCTCTTTAATCTGGTTTTAATCTAACCAGGTTCATTCGCAGGGATTTGACCATGAGAGCACTTTTCTGCTGTCCTGAGTGCATTTAAAGCTCAGAATTGTGCACAAGTTTGATGGAGACTATTTATCCGAGGTCTACGCTTCGTTTTTTAAAAATCTTTGGCCGATTTGTAGGTCAAGCTTACAATCAAGAAAATATCTTTGCTTTTTGTTTAAACTACTTATTTAAAATGAGCTGAAACAACAAAATTCTTGACTTTGTTTTTTTTTTTTTAGACAACTCAATTGTTTTATGTGCAATCTACTTAAATTTGTAAAAACTATAAAGTTAACGTAATGGATTTGTGTTGGGATAACATCAAGGAACTTTATAGAACTGCATAGGTCTCAAACTCAATTCCTGGAGGGCCGCAGCTCTGCAGTTTTGCTCCAGCTCTAATCAGACACACCTGATCCAACTAATCAAGGTGTTCAAGACTACTCTACTTGATCAGCTGTCTTAGAATAGGGTAGCAGCCAAACTGTTCAGAGCTGTGGCCCTCAAGGAATTGAGTTTGAGACCTATGGCATACACTGTAAAAAAAAATGCATGCTTCCACATATTTTATTCAGGTTGTCCCAACACAAATTGATTAATTTAACTTAATTGAATTGATTATTTAAGTGGACTGAACATAAAAACAATTAAGTTGTCCACAAAAAGTTTGCATGTATACCGAAACACTGTAAAAAGTGATCAGTTACTTAAAGCGAGTAAACCAATTGCCTTAAAAGCAACAAGTTGACTTTACAAAAATAATGAGTAAGTAGACCCATTGTAACTTAGAACTGTTAAGTTGACTTAATTTTTTATAATCATGCAAATTGTACTCACTTTTAAAAAAATAAAAAATAAATAAACAAGTCACTTTTTTCCAATACACTTTCATTATATTTGTATATTCTGTATCACGTGAAATTACATGCAGTAACTAAAATAAATCTGCTCTTTCAGACTCCAGCATATCTTCTAAATTCAATAGAAACTATAATTACAGTAATTATTTAAAAATAGATGTGCTAAAATTGCCTGACACTGTTGACTTTAAAAAGTGAGTACAATTGGCATAATTATAAAAATTAAGTCAACATAACAGCTCCAAGTTGCAATGAGTTTACTGACATTATGTTTGTGAAGTCAACTTGTTGTTTTTAAGGCATTTGGTTAACTCGATTTAAGTAACTAATCCCTTTTACAGTGAATGTTGCTGTAAATTGTTGATGTGAAAATAATAAATATATTAATTAAAAAACAACTGTCCCCAAAAACCTCAAGAATTGTGTTGATTCAGCTTATTTTAAATAAGTAGCTTGTTCCCTCAAAAAAGGATTTTGGCTGTTTTTTCAAGTTTGACAAATAAATCAAACCTACCGTTTATCCAAGGTCTAAACTTTGCTTGGTGTTTTTTATAGATCTGCATGTAAAAGAAACTGCATACAAATATAATCTCCAATAAATTTCCTGAGCACTAAATATACACTAACATGCTCACCAAGGAAATCCCAAGAATAAACAGGTGTGGAAAGGATCAGTAGCAGTGTCTGTTCTTCACATTGTCCTCATCATGAATGGATGAGATGCGACAGGTCTATATTTGTTTTGAAGATGATAGACAACTCTTTGGAGAGCAGACTATGCAATGGCACTGCGTCGTGTGTGTAAACCCATCGCTCGCCCGTCCAATCGTAACGCTTTGGCCCACTGAGAAAAAAAAAACATTCAGAAAGAATCTGAAAACTGAATATATTAAACTGCTTAAATTAAATGAAAGAACTAGTATTAGCATTTAGCTAAAGACACGAATGCCATGTTTATTAAATTTAAGATGCATTTTACACAAGACAATGTGCCATTTACACCTGGAATTTAAATCTGTTTTGACCACTTTTATGGGAGGATCTATGGGCTGGTGTATGCAAATATTCCAGATTTTCCATTTAGTTTTGTGAAATAATACGCTTGCACAATTTAAACATTGTACAGTAAAATAATAATAAAAAAAAAATATTTTTTGAAAATGCTCTCTTTTTTACAACGGCTCTTGAGTTAAACCGTTGAGTTTTACTATTTTTTTTAATCCATTCAGCCGATCTAGCAGAAGCATTTTAGCTTAGCGTAGCATAGATCATTGAATCGGATTAGACCATTAGCATCTTGCTCAAAAAAGCCAAAAGACTTTCGATAATTTTCTTATTAAAGGGCTCGTCTCTTTGATAGTTACAATGCGTACTAAAACCAATAGAAAATTCATTCATTCATCAATTTTCCTTCGGCTTAGTCCTTTATTTTTCAGGAGTCGCCACAGCAGAATGAAACGCCAACTATTCCGGCATGTGATTTACGCAGTAGATGCCCTTCTAGCTGCAACTCAGTACAGGGAAACACCCATACAATTTTACACTTATATACTACGGCCAATTTAGTTCAAACAATTCACCTATAGCATATGTCTTTGGACTTGGGGGGGAAACCCATGCCAATATGGGAGAACATGCAAACTCCACACAGAAATGGCAACTGGCCTAGCCAAGACTCTAACCAGCAATTTTCTTGCAGTGAGGCGACAGTGCTAACCACTGAGCCACCATGCTGCCCCCCAATGGAAAATAGTTCTGACTAATTTCTGACACAGGTCTCCATGGTTGCAGGACTGTCAGGCACTGTGTAATATCATTGTGCTTGCTGCAGCCATGGTACAGCAGCAAAATTCATTGATTATTACACTGGAATGAGAGTATAGTTCCTAGCCATATAAGCCTAGAAAATAGCTACTAACTGCAGTATTGGAAACCTAGAAATCAAGAGTAAACAAGGCAATTTTAAAGCTAATGGGTTTAATGTATTTTCTGAAGTTGCGTTTCTATCTCCCATTATTCGCATTTACCCATTTTGAACAAGTACAAAAGCACCTCACGGGTTAAAACTCGCTTTAAAATTGGGCATTTCAATCACTGGTTTCTCATGCAATACTTTAAAATGTAAATGTAAATGAAAGCCAGCTTATAAAATGTAGTAGTGGTAGTGGACAATTGAGGCAGATTAAAACCCTAGGTGTAGATGGAAACCTCAATTTTATTAATATATTTTCTTTTCAATATTTTCAAAATGCATCTAAATGCCAAGTGTAACACGGCAAATAATGTACAAAGCATGTTAGCCAGAAATTTAAATAGTCAATTCTATACGTTTTACACAAAAACATGTAAACAGAGTTAAGCATAACATAAAAACGTAATTAAATGACTGTCTAACCTTGTCGGCGATGAGAGCCATATCTGTCGGTTGGGGGTCTGCTTGTTGATAACGTATGTCCCATGGTCTGAGCCCACTTTCACTGTCAGCACTCCATTCTGTTAAAAATGTACACATATTTAAGCATTCTAGAGATTCAGTCTGTGGATTTAAGATTGAAACAGTGCCACTGATAGGCAAAATGCCCAGTTTATTTTTTTTATAATTAAATATCATAATATATCAAGTCTTTGGTGGGGTGATTCATTGGATCATTTATTCAAAGTAGATGATTTAGAGATTAATCGAGCTTATGAATCATGAATGAATTATTGAATCACTTACTCAATTGCTTTGTTCATAAACATATTCATCTCAGGCTTTGTTAAGAACCATTTTCAATTGCAAATCAGAAGAAAAACATACAATATTGTGTAGAACACACAATTTAGACCTAACTTGGTTGTTAAACTGTTGTATAAAATCAATATTACATTTCTAATCTCAAGTGAGCACTGATCATTGAAAAATGAGTGCTTTGGTTTATGCAATATTACTTATGGGGGATGAAAAGTATTCAGACTCTCTTAAATTTTTCACTCTTTGTTATATTGCAGCCATTTGTTAAAATCATTAATGTACACACAGCACCTCATATTGACAGAAAAAGCCTTAATTCCAAGTGGTATTTGTGGAAAAAACCAAGCAATGCTCATCACCTGTCCAATACAGTCCTAACAGTGAAGCATGGTGGTGGCAACATAATGCTGTGGGGGTGTTTTTCAGCAGCAGGGACAGAACGACTGGTTGCATTTGAGGGAAAGATGAATGCGGCCAAGTACAGGGATATCTTGGATAAAAACCTTCTACAGAGGGCTCAGGACCTCAGACTTCCAACAAGACATTGACAAAAAGACATTGACAGCTAAAAAAAACGAAGGAGTAGCTCCACAACAACTATGTGACTGTTCTAGAATGGCCCAGCCAGATCCCTGACTTAAACCTAATTGAGCATCTCTGAAGAGATTTAAAATTGGCTGTTCACGAACGTTTACCATCCAACCTGACAGAACTGGAGAAGATCTGCAAAGAATGGCAGAAGGTCCCCAAATCCATTTGTAAAAAATTGTTGCATCTTTCCCAAAAAGTTTCATGGCTGTATTAGATCAAAAGGACTGCTTCAACTAACTACTGAGCAAAGCGAAATACTAATGACCATGTGATATATATATGGCGAGGCAGTGGCGCAGTGGGTAGCACGTTCGTCTCACAGCAAGAAGGTCGCTGGTTCGAACCTCGGCTCAGTTGGCGTTTCTGTGTGGAGTTTGCATGTTCTCCCTGCCTTTGCGTGGGTTTCCTCCGGGTGCTCCGGTTTCCCCTACAGTCCAAAGACATGTGGTTTAGGTGAATTGGGTCAGCTAAATTGTCCGTAGTGTATGAGAGTGTGTGTGAATGTGTGTGTGGATTTTTCCCAGAGATGGGTTCTGCTGGGTAAAAGCTTGCTGGATAAGTTGGTGGTTCATTCCGCTGTGGCAACCCTGGATAAACAAAGGGACTAAGCCGACAAGAAAATGAATGAATATGTTATATATATATATATATATATATATATATATATATATAATAACATGGGCTGCAATATAACAAAAGGTGAAAATTTGAATGGATCTGAATACTTTCCGTACACACTGTATACGTTTATATTTTTTCATTTATTTTAATAAAATATATAGTTAATCTTTATTTATTCACATCATGCAAATATGAAAACCAGAAAAAATCTATACAGGTATATTTTTCACTGAACTTTTTTGTTATTATATTTAAATCTAACTGTATTGTAACACATTTCATCCCACAGTGAAAGCTTTTGGACTATCAATAAGTTTTTTTTGTTTGTTTTGTTTTTATTTACAAATTGTGTGATGTACTTGATAATGTCAGATTGCATAATCTTTAAACCAACAATTATAAAACATTAAAGATGATAAATACCACTCATCACGAATATGAAAAATCCTTAACAAAGATAATTTATAAAATACAGTATACACATTTACCTGTAGGACTTTGGCCTCAGATTTGTTTGTAATACTAATGTCAGGTTGAAATGACAAGCGTAACAGCATTTTCACAGTTTTCAGATTATTATGGATTATTTGTAGCACAAATCTCTCATTTAAAATCACCTATTTCAGTTCTTTTGAATGGAAGTTTCTCAAACTGGAAGTACAAGCCATTATTTGAAACACAGCACTAGTCTCTCATCAAAAAAAACAAATCAACAATTGATTTATTGAAAACTATTGCATAGACTATTTATCCCCTTTAAAACAATTTTATTTGCATTCATCACCTTTCCCAGATTGTAATTTATGTTCACAGAGGACAGTTGGCACTTAATTTCATTTTTATTGGGAATGTCCTGCACTTCATACCTTTTGGTCTCAGCTGGCTCATGATACTTCATTATTGTAAGGAAAAGATCTAGGACTGACTCCAGTAAGCTTTTTCCTAAAGGATTTTTCTAACATGTCACTTTCAATGCAACAAAACAACTTACTCTTAGCTGCCTTCACAGCTGCTAAGAAAATGTTGGTCTGCAGCTGAATCCCTCCTCATACGAGTAGATGTCAAAAAGGTCTATCTTTGCTGGACATTATTTGTATGGAACTTTCAACAGCGCGCAAACATGGAGATCAGTCAAAAACTGTTAAGTCATGGATTATAGCTTTTGATAATGTCAAATCTTTTGTTTCTAACTTCTAATGTACAGCTTTTATATGTACTTCATGTACCTCATAATGTAATCATTACTTATACTCACCTACTCCGACTCTTTATTTGGAATAACATTATTCTGTATTTTCATCAACAATCTTTTAACTTCTGCTATTATAAAACAAGTCTACGTGGGTGGGGCGTGTGGATTCGGGGTCGTCTTATGATATGTTCGTATGCTGTATGTTTTCTATATTAAACAAAAACTGAAATAATAAAAACAATTGTTCACAAAAAGAAACAGTACTAGTCATGTGGAAAAAGGTGGATGGAGAGGAGTAAAAACTGGGCGCTCTGACAAAGTAGCTGACAGGAGGCTCACCGGCTGACATTTATCCAGCCAGAGGAGAGCGAAGAGCGTGAATGACCAATCAATCTGTCGGCAGGGACTGCTGGCCACCCGCCAGATGCCTAATGGAACCAGTGCATATACTTAATCTTTCACTGGCATGGGTAACATATTTGCAAATCAAAAATATTTGTATGAAGTCAGAATTATTAGCCCTCCTCAATTATCAGCCCCCTGTATAGTTTCTGTTAAGCAGAAAGAAGATTTTTCTTCAACACATTTCTAAACATAGCAGTTTTAATAACATTTTTTTTTCAATCTAAAGGCTTAACCAGGTTAATTAGGCAAGTTAGGGTAATTAGGCAAGTCACTGTATAACAGGGGTTTGTTTTGTGAATAACCAAAAAACAACTATTGCTCAAGGAGGATAATTATATTGACCTTAAAATGGTTTTAGAAATTAAAAACTGCTTTTATTCTAGCCGAAAAAAAAAGACTTTCTCCAAGAAGAAAATATATTATAGAAATTACTGTGAAAAATGTATTGCTCTATTAAACATAATATGAGAAATATTTCCATATTATGGGAATTCACAGGAGGGCGAATCATTTTGCCCTTTAACCGTATATACACACACACATACAAATAAATGTGTGAGCGTGCACGTGTGAGTGAAATGATTGAAAGTGGCATTAGTTCAGTCTTACAATAACATGCTAAAAGCTCTGGGTGTTTGTAGCTTTCATAAATCCTGCAGGAGATGTGCATTTTTCTCTGGAACAAAGTTTTTGCACAAATAGATTTTTTTGCTGTGAAGTGGTGCAGGAGCACTCAACAACAATAACACGCAAACAAGGCTCTTTTCCTATAAAAGAAGAAAAGATCCCATCATAAATGTTTTAAGAGCCGTTTTACCTTAGAGAGCAACAATATAATTGCAATGCTCCACAAAAAGCCCGGGGATATGAAGGTTAGACAAACGGGTTACAAGACAGATGACGCATCATGTAACTCCAAATAAAAACAAGAATCATTTTTAACTTTTGTAATTCATTCATTTATTCATTTTCGTTTCGGCTTAGTCCCTTTATTAATTTGGGGTTGCCACATTGGAATGAACCACCAAATTATCCAGCATATGTTTTACACAGAGGATGCCCTTCCAGCTGAAACCCATTACTGGAAAACACCCATACACACTCCATACACGCATACACTAGGGACAATTTAGCTTACCCAAATCACCTATACGGCGTGTCTTT